TGGGTCAAATGGTGGTTCCATTCCCAGCTTTCCCAGGAATCTCCATATTGCTTTCCAAATTGGCCGCACCAATTTGCAGTCCCACCAGCAATGTACAAGAGTACCCTTTTCCCCACATCCTTGCCAGCACTTGTTGTTGTTTGACTTCAGAATGGCTGCCAATCTTACTGGAGTGAGATGGTATCTTAGGGTGGTTTTGATTTGCATTTCTCTGACTGCTAGAGATGGTGAGCATTTTTTCATGTACTTGTTGATTGATTGTATGTCCTCCTCTGAGAAGTATCTGTTCAGATCCTTGGCCCATTTGTTGATTGGGTTATTTGTTATCTTATTATCTAATTTTTTGAGTTCTTTGTATACTCTGGATATTAGGGCTCTATCTGATGTGTGAGGAGTAAAAATTTGTTCCCATGATGTAGGCTCCCTATTTACCTCTCTCATTGTTTCTCTTGCTGAGAAAAAAACTTTTTAGTTTAAGTAAGTCCCATTTGTTGATTCTAGTTATTAACTCTTGTGCTATGGGTGTCCTATTAAGGAATTTGGAGCCCGACCCCACAATATGTAGATCACTCCATTCACAATATCCTCAAAAATAAAATAAAATACTTGGGAATCAACCTAACAAAAGAGGTGAAAGATTTATACAATGAAAACTACAGAACCCTAAAGAGAGAAGTAGAAGAAGATCTTAGAAGATGGAAAAATATACCCTGTTCATGGAGAGGCAGAACTAACATCATCAAAATGGCGATATTACCAAAAGTTCTCTATAGGTTTAATGCAATGCCAATCAAAATCCCAACGGCATTTCTTGTAGAAATAGACAAAGCAATCATGAAATTCATATGGAAAAATAAAAGACCCAGAATAGCAAAAGCAATTCTAAGCAGGAAGTGTGAATCAGGCGGTATAGCGATACCAGACCTCAAACTATACTACAGAGCAATAGTAACAAAAACAGCATGGTACTGGTACCAAAACAGGCAGGTGGACCAATGGTACAGAATAAAGGACACAGAGACTAATCCACAAAGTTACAACTATCTTATATTTGATAAAGGGGCTAAAAGCATGCAATGGAGGAAGGATAGCATCTTCAACAAATGGTGTTGGGAAAACTGGAAATCCATATGCAACAAAATGAAACTGAATCCCCTCCTCTCGCCATGCACAAAAGTTAACTCAAAATGGATCAAGGAGCTTGATATATATATACTTTGATCACACTTATTTGTAACACATTCAACCTACAGTTAGTTGTGTCCTTTTGTTCATCTTAAAGACAGGAATCATTTAACTTATATTGAAGCTCCAAAATATATATATATATATATATATATATATAGAGAGAGAGAGAGAGAGAGTAAATATCGGCCAGTGTTTAAATTAAAATTAAGTACACACAAATGCGAGTGTGCATGTGCGTGCTTGCGCGCGCACACCAACACACACACACCCAGAATATACATTCTGTTTTGGTGGAATGGAGGGACTTGTATTACCAGTATATTTTTTCTTATCTTGATATTTTTGTTTGAGGTAGAATGATGAGTACTAAAGTATAAATTGGAATATCTATGTTATAATATAGTTTGAAGGATGTGTGATTCATTTATTCATTCAACAATATTTATTGTAGCAGTTACTGTCCTAGGATCTAGGTTAGGGATACTCTAGGTTAGGGACACACTAGTGAACAAGTCAAAAAAGATCCATCATAGAGCTATACAGTCTAACAGGAAAAAGAAAAAATTAAAAAAGGAATTACAAATTGTGATAAATTCAATTAAGAAATAACTGGATCACAAAAGAGTAAATAAAAGAGAGGCTCTGTGTAGCCTGAAGGACAGGAATGAGTCAGTTAATGTAAATGCATTCCAGGAAGAAGGAACAAATGAAAAGTCCAGAGGTGGGAGAGGTCTTGGGCTCTGTAAGACAACAGTAGCCAAGGATGATGAACAAGGTGGAAAGTAGGAGTGGAGCCACAAGTGTGAGGTCAGAGACATAATACTGAGATGCCTGTTATGCATCAAAGGAAATATATAAAATGGCAGTTGAGTATATAGACACTTGAAGTACAGAGAAGATATCTATGTCAGAGGTATACATTTGGAAGTCAGGAGCCTGGATAATACATAAAGTCCATTATTAACTTATAATTGCTCAAAATATGAATGTACACATTTTCATAGAAAAAAAAACCCATGCCTTTTGGTAAGACATAAGTTTCACTTGGTGTAAGAGTGCTCCTGAGAGACAGCCTGCATGTATATAACAGAAAACCGAACTTAAGCCAGAGATGTAGTTCAACAGCAGAGTGCCTGTCTAGTATGCCTGAAACCCTGGGTTCAATCCCCAGCACCAAAGTGTGGAGGGAAAGAAAGAGAATAAGACCCAGGATCTATTTACATGCTGCTATGCAGAGAATGTTGTGGACTGGGGTAAGTATTTGCTAGGTAAAAGTTTTCCCTAATTGGCTGTCTCTAATCCTGCTAATCTTGTTATACTGTTGTTAAGAGGTTTTTGAACTCATTTTGATAAATATTTTTTTATGTTTTCCAAAACTTCAAATTACACTGAGATTTTGGTCCAGCAGCCCCATTAGGTGAATAAAACAAAGCAATTGTTAGGTAAATACTTGTCAAGTTTTTTTAATGGAATTTTGCTATGGAACAGGATCTCTCAATTATATATTTGTTTTAGAGGAATCAAATGTAAACTTAATATGTTGGTGTTTCCCGAATAATACTGCTAAGACATCATTACAAAGCCCAGGTCTGAATTTTGTCCAGTGAAGCTTCTACTAAATAACTGATTTCCTTTTCATGTGTTTATATTTTTCCTTTCCTTCTTCTGAAATATTTTCCTTCCTTCTTTATCATAATCAGTTTTGGTTTAACTTAAAGTGTAAAACTTATTCTATCATAAAGCCCTTATTTCATTTTCTGTCAATGAAAAAGCACAATGAAACAAACAACAAAAACCTCTTTTACCTCTGATCAACCCTGAATGCCAAAATGTATTTTTGAAGTTTACACAAGAGTGGTGGAAGAAAAGGGTTAGGAAGCAAACAAAACATCAGTTATTAAAGACTGCCCTACAAATAAAGTAAGAAAGATGATCTATAATGTTCAATTTAAGACTTGAGATTTTTAAAAAAGATTTTGGATTTAACTGTTATGCAATTGTTTCAACAAGGCCAAGATGTTCTTAAACTGTATATCTAATTTCTTACCTGGAAAATTCCAGCTACAAATGTTGCACCACCTTGTAGGAAATGTCCATTAACAAATATCCCAAAGGAAAAGCAGAAACCCAATTTGCCATCAATAATTTCACCAAAAAACCATGGTCCTGAGAGAGGCAAAGTGTAGAAAAGAAGATTAAATAGCTACCACCCTGATTACATACATCTGAGATTCATTTATAGTAATAATGAAGATACAAGAATAGTAATCTATGAGCATTTTATTTCATAGTGTTTCTCCTTTGCTAATTTCTGTTGCATATGGTATCTTAACCAACTATTTGCCCCCTGTTTCTCTGGATCAAAAATTATCTGCATATATGCTATACTTGGAATAGATAAATAGCTTGTAGATAGCAAAAACAGGCTGCATTACACTCACAATTTTAAAAATATTCTCTTGCACTAATAAACTCAATATAATGTATTAACATTTCCTTTAAGAAGCAGAGGTATTCTACTGAAGCTAATTTTTGAGATACCTGAGATTTACTCCTTAAAGCAATAAAACCTCAACCACTTGTTTTAAAAAATATTTTTTTAGTTGTCAGTCAATCTTTATTTTATTTATTTATTTATTTGCAGTGCTGAGAGTCAAACCCAGTGCCTCACACATGCTAGGCATGTGCTCTACCACTGAGCTACAACTCCGGCTCCCTAAACCACTTTTCAATGGAAATTTTTCTAAAATGCTCTCTTGTACTTCTCTTTCTTACTAATATAATGAATATATTTTAGCCTTTTCTATTGACCTATGGCCATTAATTCATTCGTTCATATGTTCACTACATAATGACAATTCTTTAACAAGACTCCTAAAGCACAATAAATAAAACAAAAAAAATCAGTAAGTGGTATGGCATCAATTAAAGCTTGTGTGCAGCAAAAGAAACAATTAAGAACATGAAAAGAGAGCCTACAGAATGGGAGAAAATCTTTGCCACCTGCTCCCCAAGGCATTAATATCCAGAATATATAAAGAACTCAAAAAACTTGACACCAAAAATCCAATTAGGGCTGGGGTTGTAGCTCAGTAATAGAGCACTTGCCTCATATGTGTGAGGCCCTGGGTTCGATCCTCCATACCACATAAAAAAAAAAATAAAATAAAAATAAAGGTATTGTGTCCATTACAACTAAAAAAAAACCCCAATTAATAAATAGGAAAAATAACTAAACAGACACTTCTCCAAAGAAGAAATACAATTGGCCAACAAATAAGTGAAAAAATGTTCAACAACTCTAGCAATCAGGGAAATGCAAATCAAAACTATATTGCAATTTCATCTCGCTCCAGTCAGCATGGCAATTATCAAGAATACAATAACAGGTCAGGTGCAGTGGCCCATGCCTATAATCTCAGTGGCTCAGAATTACAAGTTCAAAACTAGCCTTAGCAATTTATCAAGACCTTGAGCAACTTAGCAAGAACCTGTCTCAAAAATTAAAAAATAAAATATAAAAATAAAAAGGACCAGGGATTTGGCTTAGGGTACAGTGCCTTTGTTCAATCCCTGGTACAAAAAACAAACAAAATACACACGGAATATTACTCAGCATTAAAAGAGAATAGAATCATGGCTTTGTAAGTAAATGGATGGAGCTGGAGAATATAAAGCTAAGTGAAGTAAGCCAATCCCCCCCAAAAAATGCCGAGTGTTTTTTCTGATATAAGGATGCTGATTCATAATGGGGATGGGGAATGCAACATGGGAGGATTAGATGAACTTTAGATAGAGCAAAGGGGAGGAAGGGGAAGGAAGCGGGCATGGGGGTAGGAAAGAAGTGGAATGAGACGGACATCGTTATCCTAAGTACATGTATGAAAACATGAATGGTGTGACTCTACTTTGTATACAACCAGAGACATGAAAAACTGTGTTCTATTTGTGTATTATGAATTGAATTGTATTCTGCTGTCATATATAACAAATTAGAATAAATAAAAGAAAATTTAAAAATCTCAATATATTCTTTGACAGAATGCTCTACAATTTGAAGTTTATTAATTTACTTACCAAGCACTACATACAGGGTCATCAACAACATAGAATAGTAGAAGATGTTTATTTTGCTCAAGAGGTGAAGGGAAAATGATATCAAATTTATAAATCTTGGAGGTTCTAAACAGAACAAATTTTTTAAAATTCAGTGACCACATGTAAACTTTAATTTCTTTTTTTTTATAATGTAATTTTTATTTTCCAACAGATCAACTGCCTAAGATAGCACAGGTCTAATGACCAACCAATACCTTCTTTTCCTTTTACTTATCCATTATCCCTAGTGACTAATATCATATCTGACACAGTGGTATATCAATAATTTTTTTGTTAAATGAATCTACAAACAAATGAAAGTACAAGTGAGTTTAGAAGTGGTTAGGTATTTTGTAAAATTTAATTTCTTTATAACATTTTCTAGAAGACTATTATGGGCTATCTGCTTTATATGGGGCAAATCCTTCATTACATGGCAACTATACAGATGATACCACTTTAAATTTAGAATCCTGATGAGCTAATATACTTAAAATTATATAGGGTAGCCAGGCATGGTGGCATACACCTGTAATCCCAGCAGCTTGGGAGGCTGAGACAAGAAGATCACAAGTTCAAAGTCAGCCTCAGCAAAAGCGAGGTATTAAGCAACTCAGTGAGACCCAGTCTCTAAATAAAATACCAAATAGGGCTGGGGATGTGGCTCAGTGGTTGAGTGCCCCTGAGTTCAATCTCTGGTACCCACCCAAAAAAAGAATTATATAGGGTAGAAAGTTTAAAAAAATGGTTTAGTTGTGAGACCATATATACATTGTACTATATGTACTATAATATATTGAACTCATACATATACATATACATATATATATATACATATATATATGTGTGTTTGTTTTCGGTGGACACAACATCTTTCTTTGTATGTGGTGCTGAGGATGGAACCCAGGCTGCACGCATGCCAGGCCAGCATGCTACCGCTTGAGCCACATCCCCAGCCCCCATAAATATTTTTGACTGAAAATAGACATACCTGCCAGAGGTCTGTACTATTTTATTATTTATTTATTTATTTAAATAAACCTTTATTTTATTTATTTACTTTTATGTGGTCCTGAGGATCAAATTCAGTGCCTCGTACATGCAAAGCAAGCACTCTACCAACTGAGCTATATCCCCAGCCCTGTACTATTTTATTTTCATGTAGATTTGAAAGATAGTGCTATGTTCAAAGGATCATTAAGTCTCCGTTTTCCATAGAATTTAGTACCAAAATTACAAACTTCCAAGAGATGCATTAAAATATATCAAAAGTACATAAAAGAAATAGCAAAATTTCTCATTTTGATCTTAAATATGAGTATCTGTCCCAGTAGTCCTTTCTTGTATGTGATACCGTTCTTAACAAACAGTTCTGTCATTCTAATTGAGAGGCACCCCTAAAGCTCTCCCAATTGATATGCTCTTAAATATGGTGCCAAAAGGCTCAAATATAAGTGCTTCAGCCAAAGAAGCTCCATCTGTGGCCATAGATTATCATTTTACTTATCATGGAGCTGGTCATAAACCAGTTATCAGAAAATTATGATAAAAAGTTCAGGCACACTGAGTGACACACTAGACAAAAAAAAAAAAAATTAAAAAACAGGTCCTGATGAAAGACAGCCTAATGTAAGTTAAATAAGTTATGAAGCCAGGTGCAGTGATGCACGCCTATAATCCCAGCAGCTTTGGGGGCTAAGACAAGAAGATCACGAGTTCAAAGCCAGTCTCGGCAAAAGCAAGGTGCTAAGCAACTCAGTGAGAACCAGTCTCTAAATAAAATACAAAATAGGGCTGGGGATGTTGCTCAGTGGTCAAGTGCCTCTGAGTTCAATCCCCAGTACCACCCACCAAAAAAAGTTATGATTTTGCTAATAGGTCAGCATACTCATTTAATACTTATAACATTATTCAGCCTGCTGACAATTAATTTTATACAAAGCCTAATAAAACCTTTCTCATTGTGTGTATTACTCTCACTTGTTTTTGTTTTTAGTCTTGTACTTTCAAAGTATTTATCTGGTTGAGGAGAAAATATATCATTTTAAGTGATTATGTAAAGTAAGATGCTTGGCTAATTAAGTATAGAATTGGGGATAGGGATATAGATTAGTGATAGAGTGCCTGTTTAGTATTCCTGAGGCCTTGTGTTCAATTCCCAGCGCTGAAAAAAAATTAGTAAAGAATTAATCATCAGGAAGCACTATAGGACTCAGACAAGCAAGAACTCACTATGACTTGGAATGGTTAGAGAAAGGGGTACAAGAAAAGACTATTTCAAGTAAGCCATACAGGAGACTAATATTTAAATAACTTTAGAAGAATAATTTAAAGTAGGCATAATAGCCTGGGCAAAAACACAAATGCATAAGTGATCATAGTTTGTATAGGGAACATTGAAAATTATCTGGGCTGGGAATTCCAGCAATTGGTTGAAGACATGGCTAGTCAAGTAAGACTAGGTTGTAGAGAGGTGTCTGATTTTTAATTATGGAATTTCATTCATAGGATCACTTCCATGACCAAAAAGCCTTACATATAAAATTCTGAGAAGGATAATTGCCTAATGATGAAGACAGACAATGGATTAGATGGACAGACTGGATATAGAAGCAACAGTTAGAAGTCTGTTTGGGAATCCTGAAAGGAGGTAGCATTGAAATAACATTGGTAACCCTTCAAAGGAAAAGAAACATTTGAAGAAAGAATCAATGGGTTTTAATAATATGCTGGCATTAGGGAATGAAGAATGAAGATTACTGAAAAATAAAATAAGGAATAATGATGCCATGAGAGACATAGGAAAATCAAACTAGGGATGAGGGGAGCAGGTGTGAGGTATTTCAGGAGTTTCTTTGTAGAAATATGTAGAGCCACTTAGGGATTCAGTAAGTTAAATCAGGCACAGACTGGGCTGGAGATGTGGCTCAAGCGGTAGCGCGCTCGGCTGGCATGCGTGCGGCCTGGGTTCGATCCTCAGCACCACATACAAACAAAGATGTTGTGTCCGCCGAAAACTAAAAAAATATAAATAAATAAATAAATATTAAAAAATTCTCTAAAAAAAAAATAAATAAATAAATCAGGCACAGACAATAAAATGTGGGAAGCATCCATAAAACCTTGATGACTGAAGTGCTACGCAGCTTATGCAAAGAAAAATCTTGGAGGAAAGGAAGAAAGAGGATCAGAGGTGAAAAAAAAAAAATAGGCCAGAACACTGATATATACCAAAAGGAGAGTTGTTTTTTAAGAAAAAAAAAAGAGTAGCAAAATATGTCCAGTTCTCAAGCAAGAGCAAGAAAATTGACTCAGCTATTAAGATGGCAAATAGTAAATTTGAGAGCTGAATGTTATACTTTCTTTTTTTTTCCCACATGTGGACTATAAAGATCTTTATCTATATATATCATTCAAATTAATATTTTTTCCTTCCTTCCTTCCTCCCACTTCTTTTCTTCCAGTGCTCACAGGGATCAAACAGAGCCTGTGCATACTAGGCAAGCATTCTACCACTAAGCTATATTCCTAACCCTGAAATGAATATCTTTTAAAATTCAGTCATTTTGGTTCAACATCTAGAGAAAGGTTTTAAAAAAGCAGAAAACCCTTTTAATAGCTTGACATGGGCTGACTTGTATTCCTCAAAAGTCATGTTGAAGTCCTAACTCCTAGTATCTTAGAATGTCACTGTATTTGAAGATAGGGCCTTTAAAGAGGTAACTGAGGTAAAAATGAGGTCATATGGGTGGGCTTAATCCAATGTGACTGGTATCCTTATAAAAAGGAGATCAGGATACAAACAACACAGATCCAGGGATGACTACGTGAGGACACAGTGAGAAGGTGGTTATCTATAAGCCAAGGAGTGAGGCCTTAGGAAAAAACAAAACAAACAACAACAACAACAAAAACCTGAACTTGAACTTCAAGGCTCCAGAATTGTGAGAAAACAAATTTTTATTGTTTGAGCCAACCAGCCTGTGATATTTTGTTATGTCAGACCTAGCACACTAATATAAGCTTTATTTTAAAACTTTGTCATAAACCTTTTTTTAAAAAATATTTTTATTAGTTGTTGATGGACCTTTATTTTATTTATTTATATGTGGTGCTGAAAATCGAACCCAGTGCCTCACACATGCTAGGCAAGTTCTCTACCACTGATCCACAACCCAGCCCTGTCATAAACCTTTTTAAATGTACTTTGAAACTAGACTTTTTGCATCTTAAAAGGCTCATATTACTTTTAAGCTAGACAGCTAATTATATGGAATTAAGTATTGTAGTTATTAAGGGAAGCAGCCAGAGAAAACTATTAGTAAGTAATTTTAATGTTACTTTAAAATTAGTAATATAAGCTTAACCCTCAAAAGATTAGAAGCTAACAGAAAACCCTTATCAATACCTATAAAAAGGCTATGACTACTTCTATTTCTCTATTTTTGATTTTAGACTATAAAGTAGTAGTTTTTAAACCTGTCTGCTTTTCAGAATAACCTGGAAAGTACTTCAAAATAGAGATGCCCAGATCCCTCCTGCTACTAACACCCCCATTAGAGTTCTCCTCCAAAGTTGCTAAGATATATTAACCCCATACCCTCACGTTTTCCCCTTAACATAACGTCCTATGCCCTATCCCCAGTTCTCTATATGCCACTAGAAACTGTACACCTTTTATGAAACTACTGACTATATTTTCAATAATAATTGAATCCAACATTTCTTCCAACATTTCTAGTCATAGAAATGTATTAAAAAAAAAACTTGCTCATAGATGATGTATTGTTGATATTGGGAACTGTTAATATTGTCCTTCCCCACAAAGGAGAGAGATCTTGGAACTATATAAGAGCACTACAAATCTATAGGATAAAAACAATAACACACCAGACTCACAGAGCTGGAAAGAAACACAAGCAACATGAAAAGACAAGGAAGAAAGTACCACAAACAATGCAAGACAATACATCACTAGAAGAATTACAGCAGAAAAAAATGACAGATAAAGATTTCAGGATATACATGATTCAGATGTTTTGGAGTCTTAAGGAAGACATCATACAACAAATACAGACAATGAA